GAGTTCCAGAAATCATTCTGATATTCCTGCAGCTTTAAAATCATCAAAGCTTTGATCTCTGATGAAAGTGAATTCCAATCAGTTTTCTTCTCAGACCCCTAGACCATTAGAGATGCGGTCTATCTCAGACCACACCGTGCCCCCATGCTGTCCCCCAGATATTCTAAACCTTTTCTCTTCTGTTGCCATTTCCTTCCTAGGGTCACCAGGAGATTTTCATCATCCAAATCACTTCGCCTGGAAGGTGGAAGCTTTGCACAGGACAATAAACCAGCCATATCTAAGATAAGTCTCCCAAAAGACTGTACCTGCTGCAGAGTGCCTCCTCCCTCACCCCCCAACTAGTTTTTCTTCCTAAACTGTGAGAAAGTTTAAAATATTCAATAATATTTGACTAGATTGAAGAGAAGGTATTATTATTTTAAGCTAATTTGACTTTTTTTTTTTGGTCGTTCTTTGACATATTTTTTTTCTTGTCCTTTCTGTACTTCTCTCTCTTTTCACAAACCTAAGAATCAGAGAAGGAAATAAATCTAATCATTTTTTAAATGTTTTATTTTGTGTAACGAATATAGAGGAAAAACTCATATTTGCCTACAAAATGTAGATTCTACACCAGCTTTCAATGACTTGAAATGTGATGGTAAGTTTGGAGGGGCTGCCCAAGGGCAGAGTTAAGGCTCTAGACACTAAGAAACTCTATACCTTAAGACACTGAATTTCTTTTCAGTTTAACATTAACTCTGCATGTCTGGGTTTATTGCCCTTGGCTCCAGGATAATTATAACATCCCTGTAATTTATTTTGCCATAATTACAGACATGCACTGCCAACTTTAACTGTGTTTTAGGACTGATGCCACAGTCCCATGAGAGAAGGTGGTGATCCCTTATGCTGTGAATGGTGGAAAACACTCAGTCCCATTCAGAAAAATAAAGGGCACCCATAATTTTCACAGAATGCCTCCAGATTAAGGGTAATGCTGGCTTCCATCCATCAGGAACAAGAAGAAACAGATATATCTGAGAGAGGAGGTCCTCCCCGTAAATGTCTGTATCCTTCAGCCTTCACTGAAGGAGAATATTTCAGTTATAAAGAGTAATGGAGAAGAGGAGGAATAACCATTAATCCTAAAGAAAGCCTATTCAATGACAATTCAAACCCAATACTGAATGGAGTTCTAGCAGCACACTTGTCCAGATCTACCTAGCAAGATCATCAAGGGCAAAGACAATATAACTGGCAGAAGTCTGAATTACTATTACGTTGTCTGCAGGGTGGTTGCCATGTAATGTCACAACCAGAATTCTCATATTATAGCTTTCCACCCCAAAAAGTAGACTCAAAGCCCAAACACAAGTCCAAGATCAAATACACTCCATTTTCCCAAAAGCACAAACAATAAAAAATATGATGAAATGCATTAGAAGAAACATTTATTTTATTTTGCAGCTAGGAACAACTATTCTAATTCATCTTAAAAAAAAAATAAAAATGAAGGCAAAACTTGAAGCCAACTTGGAGCGTTCCTAATTGAGACAAAATATTGTGGCTCTATACAACCAAACATCTCTATTGGCCAAAGCCAATTTTCCCAAGTAGTCAATCTGCCAAAGTACATAAAGAAATGTTCATTTCCATTTCAATCTAATTTCAAGAATACTAATGAAGCTGATGCTTTCGTATTTGCCCTTTGTTAAGAATGTACTCAGTCTATCTGTTTGTTCCAATCTCCCTGCTGGGTCCCTGCAGCTACTTCTCCTAGCTGATAAACCCACAGAACTGAGCAGATCTGTGTTCATCACCCCACGGCTTCAGTCCATCCAAGACTTCAGCTGTTCAGCCTCAACCCATTGGCAATCCCTTGCACTCACGTGATGCTGGCTGCAGTATGGCTTCCAAAAAAATTTGGGTCAAGAGCTTCAAATCTGGGATGGATTTCTTCTCAGTTCCCTTCTCCCAGACAAGGATATATTACTGGCTGTATCTGGCTCCCAGATAAAGAGATCATGCTATGGCTTTATATTTCCCTCAAGCACAGCTTTTGGTTCTGGCACTAATTTTGGCCGCAGACAGTGTCAAGTGTGTGGTGTAGCACTCTCAGGCTCTATCTGCTGGATGGTTTGCATGAAAAAAGGTGTGGATAAGGGTAAGACAAGAGTCAGGAATTTCTCCCCAGCCACCTCTACCCAACACTGAATGGGCAGCAAACGTCTCTACCCTGTGAGCCCATTTTCCTTCCCTGCCCAAAGTGTTCAACAGAAGTCTATTGACTGCCTGGAAATCGAAGCAACTTGAGCAGTCTGGGAATGGAAAGGGGACAAATCTCATTTGTTTGACTGTTTTTAATGATAACCTTTTATCTAGAGACTATGGACCGTTTCTCTAACTATGCTCTGTCTGTGAAAGTCACTCTTTACCCACTTCAGATGGGTAAAAGCAATAGCTTTTTACTCACCAGAGTGCATCGGTGCTAGCAAGGCACACTGAGGAGAGAAAAGTGCAGACAGCCCATTCCTATCAGAGCATATCCAGAGAAGCACCACAAAAATGATCCAAGAGAAGGAACATCTTCCCTATAAGGACAGGCTGAGAGAGCTGAGGCTGCTTGGGCTGGAGAAGAGAAGAGAGACCCACGAGAGGCCTTTCAATGTCTGAAATATGAAGGAGACAGACTCTTTAGCAAGGTCTGTTGTGATAAGAAAAGAGGAAATGATGTCAAATGAAAAGAAAGGAGATTTAGATTGGACATCAGGAAGAAGATTTTTACAATAAGGGTGGTGAGGCACAGGAACACATTGTCCAGAAAGGTCGTGACCCTGGAGACATTCAAGGTGAGCCTGGAAGGAGCTCTAAGCAACCAGATCTAAATGTAGGTGTCCTTGTTGATTGCAGGAATGTTGGACTAGGTGATCTTTCAAGGTTCCTTCCTACTCAAAATATTCTATGATTCTATTGCACGTCGGCAATGTTAATTAGCACTCCTAATGGAAGAAGCAAATATAGGACTGTCTGGAGTGAATCCAGCAGAACAATAATTGGTGAAGGCCACTCTATACTTCTGTAGTCAATAAGATCATAGAATCACTGAATCATAGCAAGTTCTAAGGGACTCATGTGGATCATCAAGACCAATCTTGGCTCCACGGAGGACCATCCAAAAATCAGACCATATGTCTGAGAGCATTGTCCAGACTCTGGTAGCTTGGAGCCATGACTTCTTCCCTGGGGAGCATATTCCATGCCCACCACTTTCTAGTGAAGAACATTTTCTCATGCTAAAAGGTGGCAAATAGGAAATGTGTCTGCGCAGGAAACAATACAACACAAGAGGCAGATTTGGAACTGGTAGGGAAGGGAAGAAGGGGAAAAAAGACAAGTGAGCTTATTGAACTGAAGCCAATTCTTCAGATGCATAAGAGGCTATAATTTGCTCTACTGACCATATGGGAGGGGAGAAAGACCTGAGAAACAATTCTCTGTCCATCTCACTCCCTTTCACTCATTCTCTCCCCCCTTCCCTCTCAGAAAATCAAGTGAATTAAGTTTTCAGAGTTACGTAGGAGGCACTGGGCGTCAGATACAATTACTCATCCGCTGCATCATAATTACTGCAAATGGTCCATTAAAGGAAAATTATCATCAATATGATATTATCAGACAGTGGATAAATGAATAAAGGAAAGTGCTTATTCTTCCATTGTCCTGTTAATAGAGACGTCTTTGAAATTGATAATGTGAAGGATGCCACATCGCTGGGGAATGTGGGCCAGCAGGACACGGAGGGGAACTCTGGGTGAGAGTACACCAAAGAGACAGAGGTGTGAATGCAGCTGTGCACCTTCATTTGACAGAGAACAGGACTGGGACGCCTGGGCAAGAGGTCATCCCTATGCAGGACCTTCTCACACCACAGTCCCTTTTCCCCAGGGATCCACACTGCCTTTCTGTATTTTTGTAAACTTCAGCAGAGCAGAATCCAATTCACTACGTAAACCCAAAGCAGAACCAGATCATTGGCCTAACTTTGCTATTTAGGAGTGTTTTTCTCCAGTCACTGCACCTGGGACCAGTCCCACCTGGAGAAAAGGAGGTCAGAGGCGCTCATCGTGCAAACACTTCTGCACTCATCATGCTGAAATTAGGCCACAACTGCAGGAAGCATCAACTAATCACCTCTAGATCAGCAGATGTTTTCTGCACTGTTATGCTCTGAGCACAGAATGCCTCTAGGAAACTCAACTTCCATCTTTACAAATGGGGAACCTGCGTTTTGGAGGCAGAGAACTGGGGGCAATTGTTCTGATCAATGACTATTCCACATCCAGGATGGCATAAGGTACATAAGGTATCCTGATGACTGAGAAAAACAAGAAGACAAATAGAATCATAGAATCATTAAGGTTGGAAAGGACACTGAAATCATCTAGTCCAGCTATAAATCCATCCCCACCATGCCCACTATGGTCCCTCAGCACCATATCTCCACATTTCTTGAACACTTCCATGGATATGGACTCCACCATCGCCCTGGGCAGCCTGTTCCAGTACTTCACCACCCTTTCTGAGAAGAATTTTTTCCAAATATCCAACCTAAACTTCCCCTGGCACAACTGAAAGCCATTACCTCTCATCTTGTCGCTATTATATGGGGGAAGAGGTCAACGCTCACCTTGCTACAAACTCTTTTCAGGGAGTTGTGGAGACCTTAAGGTTTCTTCAGACCGAACAAGCCCAGTTATCCATTCCCCATAAGACTTCTGCTCCAGGCCCTTCACAGTTTTGTTCCCTTCTTTGAACATGCTACAGGACCTCAGTGTCTTTCTTGTAGTGAGGGGCCCAAAACTGAACATATGAGGTGGCATCTTTCCAAAATGCTTCAGATATCCATTTAGGAGGTAAGAGAGAACCAAGGAAAGACAGACACAACTGAAGGACCGAGGAGTATCCTCAGCTTGGTTGCTAGCAACGCCCCCATTGTGAAGCATTTCCATGTTGCTAAGGTCACCTGCTGTAACAATGGCACCTTTACCCTTCTCAAGCACATTGATGATTGAACACCAGGGTGACAGAAGCACTTGCAATGCCACTGAGAGGTACACAGGCTCTGTCCAGGGCAGCCAGGCCCATTCTTCAGTTCTCCATGCTCTGCCAAGAGTTCCCTATTAAAACAGAACCTGAGATAGGTAGGCTTCACAGAAGAGTGAGCATCTGGCCAGAGCAGGAATACGCCTGCAGGGCCAGGTTTGGTAAAGCGGCATGGAGCTGCATCAGTCTCAAGTATAAAAAATAGTCAGTGAAGAGAGTAAAGCGGATCTGCTGCTATTCATTTCACAGCTGTAGTGGGATTAGTGGAACGAGGGCGATGGGGTAAGCTGCCCCTTTTATCTCATTCAAACATGTTGCTAATTCAGCAGAGCACCGCAGCCAGGAGCAGCTCCCAGCCTAATCCACTGTATCATTCTCACCCAGCGTGAAGAAACGAGAATTTTAATCCTCTCCCTGCCCCCCACCCCATCAGCTACTCCAGCGGGCTGTGCCTGGCCAGACCAGGCATGGGGACCCACTCCATGCCTGTCACTGCTTCCCCCAGCCCCACTGATGGGACCTTCGGGAGCTGAGAGAGGTGGCTTCTTCCACCCCCATGCACCATAGGCTCTACTGGGCTTTTGACCATCCTACATCATCCAGGCTTCAGGATGGCTACAAGAGCAAAATTGCAGGAGCATCAAGGATAATTGTATCTGAGGTTGGATATTATGAAAAATTTCTTCTCAGAAAGAGTGGTCAGGCATAGGAACAGGCTGCCCAAGGATGTGGTGGAGTCAGCATCAGCAAAGCACAGTGCAAGGGCTCTTCGAGTGAGAGGGTATTTTGGCTGCTGCAATATAAAGACAATGTAAAACTACTAGAGTGTCCACAGGAAGGTTATGAAGATGGGGAAAGGTCTAGAGAACAAGATGTGTGAGAAATGGCTGTGACTCCTTGGTTTGTTTGGCCCAGAGATGAGGAGACTGAGGGGAGGCATCATGGTGGCCTACATCCAACTCATGGCGGCCTACAGCCAAGGCGTGATCTCTGTTCTCTGGTGACAGTGACAAGACCAGAGGGAACTGTGAGAGATTGGGTGGTAGGAAAAGGTTCTGCATCAGAGGGTAGTGGGCATGGAACAGGTTCCCCAGGGCAGCGGACACAGCCTCAATCTGTCTGGAGCTCAAGAAGCAATCTGGACAACACTCTCAGACGTAGGGTTCAGATATTGGGTTAAACAAATGTCTGAGTTGTAAAGATCACCTCACCAAACCTCTTAAGTACCAAAATACTCCTGATTGGAGAAAAGAGGAAAAGCAAAAGAATATATAGCCGAATGTGGCAGAGGGTCGTGCCTTCAACTCTGAGGCTATACAAAAGAGGCTTTAGGTGGGAAGTTCGTAACAAACTACAGAAGTGTCTCTCCCAGAGATAAATTTCTTTCCTTCCTTCTCTAGAGGAAACAGCAGAAGTGCTCTCTGGTGGAGTACAAAAAGAAATAAATACACAAGTGATGAAAATCAGGGTCAGCTCAAAGCTGGCATTCAGCCCAGGAAACAGCAGCCAGCTTGACAATTGTTTGTGTTCAGGAAAGCAGAATGTCCCTGCAGGATGTGTTGAGGACCTAAAGGAGAGTGGTCACTTTCTGTGTGGGGAGACAATGAGGAGATAATTAGCTGCTGTGCAAAAAAGCAGGTGCCTTTATCCTGAGTCTAGAGTGTGTCTGGTTTGGAAGATAAGTGCCCTACATTCACAGTGGGCTCAGATCACCAAGATGGCATTCAAGAAGCATTTGGATAAAGCTCTCAGGTATATGGTCTGTTTTTTTGGGTGATCCTATGTGCAGCCAGGAGTCAGACTTGGTGATCCTTATGGCTCCCTTCCAACTCAGAATATCTTGTGATTCTATGAATTGCTGTGGCTGAAACACCAAGTCCAGACACCAAAACCTGGTATGCGATGGGAGATTGCTACTGAAATTGCATCCCTTGCTTCCCCCTAGGCCTCAGCCCTGCAAAGAGAAGATGTATGACCCATGGCAGAGCAAAGCATGGATGAGAAGTCAAAGCCTCTGCTCCAAACCAGCGCTGGTGCATTGCAGCAGCTGAAAAACATCCAAAGGTAGATAGACCATAGGGAATACCTGAATTGACTGCTTCTATGAAGCATGACAGGACTGTCCAACTCCCAGAGGAACACCACAAAAACAATCTAAGGAATCGAACACCTCTCCTATGAGGAGACTATGAGGCTGAAAGAGCTGGTGCTGTTCAGTCTGATGAAGAGAAGGATCCGAGGTGACCTGATAGCAGTCTTTCAAGCATGTACAAGGGATCTACAGACTCTTTATCAGGGTCTGTGGTGACAGAACAAGTGGAAGTGGCTTCAAGAAGCTCAGGGAGGGTAGATTTAGTTTGGATATAAGGAAAAAGTCTTATTTACAGTGAGGGTGGTGAGGTGCTGGAACAGGTTTCCTAGAGATGTGGTTGATGTCCCATCCCTGAAGCGAGGCTGGATCAAGGCCTGAGCAACCTGCTCTAGCTGTGCATGTCCCTGTCATTGCAGGGAAGTTGGACTAGATGGCCTTTAAAGGTCCCTTCAACTCTAAGGATTCTGTGATTCCCTGGGGCAGCTACCCCAAGGATGCAGAGCTCCCATGGGGTAGAGCCTGATGGACACCCCTCTGACTTACTTCTGATCCCCTTTCTTCCTTCCAAGACCTTTGTGGTTGGGGTTAATAAACTCAAACTCACTTTTTCCAGCCCCAACACCCTGCTTGCTCCAAGGCTCCTCCTCAAACATCTCCCTCCCCGCAAATCCCCTGAACCTCTTCCAATTGCACACCAATAAAAAGTGCATTATTAACACCCCTCTGTCTCCACTCCCTCATGCTCTCTGATGGGCAATGAAACCTCTCTGAATTATGCCGCTCGGCATGCTTACAATTTAATTACATTTAAAGTCAATCAGGAGCTCCTGGAGCTGAGTGGCTGTTAAAAGGATGTAATAGAGGAGTGGGAGGAAAGGATGGGACAAAGACCCCCAGAGCTGATGTATACACTCTCACCTCCTGCAGAACCATCAGTATCAATCTATTTCTTCCCCTCATCCCATTCCCCCTCCTCCTGGCACACCTTTCTGAGCTTTCTGGAAAGCTTTTCCATAGTAAAGTCCTGTAGGGAATTAGAGGGAATAGGGAAAGAGCTGAAAAGGGCTGGAAAAAGGGTGGATGAGGCAGACAGCATCCTTCCCTCTTCTCTGCTTCCTCTGTGTCATTGAGGAATGGCATGCGCCTTGATTTTAATTAGATGGAGGTAATTGCCTTGGTGCAGAATAACATTGTTTGCACTGGTGGGAAGTGAGAGGGGCTTCAGGCTTGGCTGCCCCCAGGAGCTGGGGGAGGGATAACCTAGGCTGAGTGATGAGACACATTCATTGTTCAGAGAGGACAAGGGCAACCGGGGTGGCTTAACCCTTGCACTCCCACGCTGCCAAATGAGGCTGAAAAAGTAGGAGAGGAGGGAGTTCGGCCTTGGGATATGGACAGGTCCTGTGGCTGAGTTGGGCTCTGCTATGTATCTCCACTGTGTGTGCACTGAGGGAGGCTCAGAGCACCCTCTGGATTGAAACAGGGGGAAGAGAGACTGTTTATAAATTGAAACCAAGGCACAGGATCCCAAAAGGGAACGGAAGCATCACCTTATGTCCCTGCACATTGCAATGCACACTTTGGCTATGGCAACATGCTGAGGGACCCTTGGAACAACTCAGAGTATCACTATGGTTGTGGTCACACATCATGACAAAAGAGCATGTAACACAGGCAGAAATCAAGTTTCTGGAACCCCAACCTAATTCCTGCTCCCTGGCTTCCCAGTCCCTGTGGGTGATCCTTTTCTGAGCCCTAGAGACAAGCAGGTTGAGCCCTGGAGTGTGACATTTGAAGGTTACCAGCAGAAAACACAGTGGCCTCATCCATAATGCCTATTGGGAAACTATGCTGGCCCCACAGCATGTTGACATTGTGGGAAGGTGGCTGAAGTTCTATTCTCTGATTCCCATTAGAGTCCAAGTTCAGATGATGGTGATTGCTCCCCAGTGCCTTCCTGGGTGTTCCCTCCCCAGGAGTGTTCACTGCAGCAGATTGAAGCTGACTCAGAAGCTTAGCACACCAGGGCACCAGGTCTCTTGGAAACATGCACTTTGAAAACTCCCACAAAGGCTGCAAATAGTCAAACATCTCCTACATGGCCCCAGCAGCTGGGATAAATATTTATGAGAGATGTCAGTGTTGTGTTTCAGGACACATGCCAAACACCAGCCACTAGAGGTTAGCAAGAAACTGCCCCCATTGGCATATTATTGGATAAGTGTCCATTACAAGGGCTGACTCCTTCCTCTGAAGCAGATGGGAGGGGATGCTCTCAAAGACAGGATATTGGATGAGATAGTGGCATCCCCACGTTCCTTGATGATTGCTCGTAAAATTAGCCATCCTTTAAAAACAGCCTTCCCTTGTCAATATTTAACTCCAGACTGCCAGAGGGGAAAAGGTCCAGCTTCCTGCTGCTTCTAGCTGAGTATGTTGTCTGTGGGTTGGCAAAGCTCTGATCCAGCTCTGCTTTACCAACCTGGTCAGGATCTTGCATATCAGCCATGAAGACATCCAGGGTGTTGGGACATTCAGTTCATGCTTGATGCTGGAACTCCATCCAGCATAAAGCATTGGCTGTCTTCTCCCTTGGCAAGAATCAATGTTTCTCATTCACATCAGCCTTATGTGTACCATCATCCTCTTGTTTTGGTGTCAGGAGATGGGTACACTGTGCATCAGAAAATAGAAGGGAAGGTACAAAAGCCTATTCAGTCTTACTGAGGCATGAAATTTCATGAAAAGTGTGATACTTGCCATCACTGTGGGGAAACTGAGATACAACAAGGTGATTCAGCCAAAACAAGCAAGAGCAGCCACTCTGCAAGACTGCTCTTTTAATGTTTGGGTGCCTGGATTCTGATTGTAGAGCCAGACTCAGGAAAAAGATAAGGGGAGCCAGGACCAAATAAGCAATGAAGAGAAGAAACTGCAGCTATGCTTTGGAAGAGGTCACAAACTCAGAAAACAACAGAAGTAGAAGGGGATTTAAGGAAGACATACAGAGAAACAGACCCAACGTGGCATGATCTTAAAAGTGACTATATGGCAGTGGTAGGAGAAGGCAGTGAACGGGACTCTGGGATGGAAGTGCTGCTCTGCCCTGTATTGCTTTTTGTGCTTGTTAAGATTTTGGCCACGATGGTATCTCCTATGGATTTAAATGTCTTTCTGTAGTACATGGTGACAGTGGTTCGTATATTCATATCTAAAGATAAATGCATAACATTCATTTGGAACAATAATAGATGTGATGACCTGGCACTTTTTTTCTCTGCCTGTCAAACCTTCATCTGCAGCACTGAGAGGATGGATTAGAAATGGTTTGATGTATGGATGGGTGAACAGATAAACAAAGTCTAAATGGATGGAGGTGAGATGGATGAACTCCCCATCCTGACTATTGTCAGTGTGTTTCAGTTCTAAATTATATAGATCTAAAATATTTAGTCTGGCTAAGGCTTTTCTGCTTTGAAAGGTGGTCTCATGCAGTTGCTCAGCAGGTTTAAGCCACCTTAAACCATACTCAGCCATTGTGATGTCCTTGTAATATCTGCCCCCACACTTTCCCCCCCCACACCTCCATCCTCCATCCTGACACCAGTTCCCAGTAGGGAGCAATGGGACTGGTGTAGACAAAGCAAAACCCCACTGAGAACTGATCTTTCTTGCAATGGAAAACAATTTCTTTTTCATCACAGAGTATCCTGAGTTGGGAGGGACCCATAAGGACCATAGAGTCCAACTGGGTGGTGATGGGTTGGACTGAATTGTCTTAGAGTTCTTTTCCAACATTAATGATTCTAGAGATTCTAAGTTCAAATGTGTGCTATTGAAAAATGCAGCTCCTAATTCTAAGTAACCCTGCAGCATCCTACACAAAGAGGCTAAGTGTTCACTCTCTGCTTCTCCCATGGAGACATACCCATAGCCACCACCACAGGAGGTAAGTTTTGGATGGAAGAATATAATCAAGAATGGGTGGCAGTCATGAGATCCACTGCTTGTCCATTCCCTTGACTACCAAACCAAGGTTCTCAGACATATGGTCTTATTTTTGGATGGTCTTGTGTGGAGCCAGGAGTGGGATTCAATGATCCTTATGTGTTCCTTCCAACTCAGGATATTCTATGGTTCTATGACAAGGTTATGGTGCAACATCTTACCTGAGCAAGCATCAGTTTTTAGTTCCCAAACCAAGCTAGGCCAAACTATAAAGGGTAAGACTAAATTCTTTCTTAGTATGGTCTGGATAGGACATCCAGGAATGTGGTAGGGACAGTGATAAGGGCTTTTTCTCTCCTTGCAGAACGGATAACTGAGTACTTATGAGCCCACTTCACTGAGCTCCTGAGCACAAATCCATCATGATAGCTACAGAGAAGCCATAACTTTTGGTGATGGGTTGATGGTTGAACTAGATGAACTTAGTGGTCTTTCCAACCTTAACAATTCAACAATTCCATGTTTCTAGGCCATGAGTAGAGATGGGAAAGGGAGAGAGAGGCAAAAGTATGACAAAGCTCTTGGTCCACCCAAGCAAACACCATAAAGCTATAACAAGCCACAGACAAACTGTACCATCCCACAGGATGCATCATGCAAGAATCTAAGGATATTGGGTTTCCCATCCAGCCACGTGCCTTGTCCCCATGCTGACCAGCAGATGTCTTGGCAAGTTGCTGTATTCTACACACCATGATCTCAGCCAATGAGCTCCCCCAGCACTCAAAGCCCATAGCTCACACATTTCTGCCCAAGTGCCTCTGATACAAGGAATGCAGAGAAGCTTTCCAGCAGTAGGAATGCTGTCCCCTACCCCTGGAGAGACCACATACAGTTCCTGAAACAGATCCCAAAGCTTTGCCAAGCATCTGGCACAGGGCACTGGCCCCTCCATATGTCTGCAGCAGTAATATAGTAAGTGCTCTTTCATGTCATATTGCTTTGGCTTTCCAGGATCTGAGGG